GGCATTTCTCCCAATCTGTGCCCCAGTGTGGTCACTGAGCAGTAGCAGAGTTCAATAGGAAGATCAGCTGCTCATCCACTTTTTACTAAAGCAATTTGTATTATGGATTTATTTTAGCAGTCTACAGTGGCAGTTGCTGTTTTTACTATTTAAATGCTTTGATTATCTGACCTTGCTTACTTTATCTTTCTAAGTGCTATCCATAGGCTTTAACATTGATCAATAAGTGGGGATTCCTTTACAGGATTACACGGAAATCAATCTCAATTGTGAGTTTCTGTGTTTTATGTTTATTTCTTGGTCTATCTTAATTGGGTTCCTTCTTCTGATAAATAAGGTGAAAATGTGATTATTGAAGATAAGAGTCTTCCATTTAAACTGGTGTACAAGTTATTACAATAACTTGTATTCTTCATACATGGTTTTGTTCATTATTTTTATAATAAAGAAAATAATACCTAGATATCTCTGCATTATGAAAATTTCATTAGAGAAGAAAACCTATATGCAAATAACTGAAAAACCTTGAAACAAATGACTGTACTGTATTAATGTCAGTAATTGCAAAAATTCCATGTGCATTATGTTTACACATACCTTGTGCAAAAAAGTGGTTTTCTGCTTAAAATGAATGAGTGCTGCATGGAAAAATCCTAAAGAAATTCTCAATAACTGTATCCTGAAAAACACTAGGAAACACAAAACAAACTTGCGGACTATCATGGAAAAATTTAATATTTAATAATATGAGAAAAATATTTTTTCAATTTACCCAATTTTTATTTAGAATTAAATAAGAAATCAATTACCTATCAAATACTTTTTAAATGAAATCTGTAAATTTTAGAACCAAATTCTATGTTACCAAACAACTTGGATTTTAAAAACTTTCTGAAATTAAGTAGAGCACATATAAACTTCATAGAATACAAGCTATCTTAATTATTAAGAGTTGCTGTTAAATTTTTGTTCTAATTCATTGTATTTCATATCCTCTGGCTTAGGCAGTGACATGAAGCTCGCAGGTTTTCTCTTTTATCAATTTATTCTAAGAGCAGGTTTTTCAAATCCAGAAATATAAAATTAAATATTCTATCTTTAAAATATTTAGGATATTTTTAAAATCCAGTCTACTATTTCAATACCTGTTACCAACCTGTATATAAAATTACAGTGAAATATTTTACACACTTTAAGCCAATACATAAAATCTGCAGCTTGCTTCAGTTGTCAAAAATACAGAATAGTGAGAAATAATGTAAATAAAAATAAATTTAACACAAAATATTTGTAACGTACAAATGTAACTTTATATTTAGTTAAATAAGAAAAACAAAAACCTTTCACAGTGTGATAGAACTATCATATATATCCAATAGCTTTTCATACTTCTGAAATAATTCCACATAATTCCCTTTTTCATACTTTGAAACATTGGCCAAATGATTTAGTATTTTATAGTTTCCATTTCAAAGTAAATTATAGACTATTACTACAATAATTTTTCTTCTGCTTGTCATATTAAATAAGACATGAGGCATAAATAAGTAAAAAAAAGCCATCATAAGATAATTCAGTGTGATATTTACATGCATGAATTTAAGTTGCAAAATTAAGATTCTTAAACAGGAACAGGAGAAAAATATGAGGAAGTTTAATTACCAATAGGTGCCGTAATGATAGTTCAGAACTGTTATAACCAAAGTGTTTCTTTCTACTGTTTGTAGCCAAATAGCACTTCAGAGGAATTCTTGTCCGGAAAGCTCTGCGTCTTTGCGGAGCATAACCCTGGCGAGCCAGGCCCACACTTTCTTCCTCAAGTGGGTAAACGTTAAGGGAGAGGAATCCAAGTTTCATGATGCAGCAACATAAAGCTGGGAAGTGAAAATTATGTTGCAGCAGAGTCTTGGAAATATGACTGTAAAAGTTAATCAATAAAATGTCTATTCCTGTCTATTCACCGGAGGCCCCAGCTGCATAGCTTCACTCAATCGATACTACAAATTATTACGATTTCCAGGTTCCCACTGGACATTCAGAACAAATCTTTCAAGTGTAACAGGCTTACACTGAGTGGATGGTGTGTGTTCTCTACATTTAGTTCAAAAAGAAGAGGGGAGAAATAAAATTTAAATTCTATGTATTCCTTAAAAACAGCTTTATTAAAGTGAAACTTTAGGGTCAGCTTTTAAAAATTGTTTCTTTAGATTACCAAATTCTTGCATATTTCTTTTCCAATTTAGTTCTGCTTAGTTATGAAATGATTTAATCTAGTCATACAGTTTGGTGGTATGAATGACTAGCTCTGAATAACTATCTCAAAGTCAATGAGTTAAAGACAAAATTTAAGTTAATTATTTGCCAAGAAATTCTTAGGTGCATTATAATTACTTAGAAGGTAAATATAGAGTCCTGATATATATTTCAAGTTATTACAGTTCCTCTTTATAATTATTATTTATGATTTTATGACCAATTTCAACACATTTAAAATGTTTCATGTTTTCTGTGCTTTGCTTTTTGAAAAGAAAACATCATTTAAGAAAACAGTTCCTCTTAATTGAAAGAAAGTCCCAAAATGTTACGTTCTTGGCGAGATTCTGATCTGTGTAACTAATTCTACGGTGACCCCAACACTAGGAATTACTCAAGTCTTTGACTGTAGCTCCATGCTCTGTGCATCTGACCATGTCCCAGTTAGTAGAAGCAGCCTTGCAAACGCGAGGCAGCTGCTGAAGTGAACCACCTGCGAGGCATGAGTGCCCTGCGACACCTGGCACATCTCTCTACACTCGTGTACACCACAGCATCTGCCACGACCCAGGACCACATCTATTAGCTAATTTAATCCGTTCCCGCCACCTGTCGATTCAGTGCATAGGAAACCCCCCACAAAACATACATTTTTTGCTTAGTAGGCCAAAAGTCTTTATGTTTCTTTCATATTTAAAAATAGTATACTTTTCACTTTCAGACATTCATCTAGCATGTGAGCACATATTGGGCCAAGGTAGTGTCAAGATATTTTTAAAGAAAGGTAAATTTGTTTCTCTGAAGAAACCATTGTTTTGAACGTGACAAGTTTTTAGTCTCTTTAAAATTTCATAGCATTTTTACAGCATTATGCAACAATATGTGTTTATAATTTGTGACTTCATGCATTTAACTGTAAACTAATGCAAATTGCTAGAACTATAAAAATACTATTGCAATTCTGACTGCTTTTAAACTTGGCTCGATACTCATATTCCTCACCAGGGTTATTGTATTAAGGAAGAATATCCCACTTAATTTTACAATAAAAATAAAATATCTTGCAAAATAAAATGTGTAAATTCTAATCAAGCATATACAATTTAAAAATGATTTTTTTTCTATGTTTTAACTGGGTAAATAACTGTCTCATTTATTCACTTATAAAATCCAAGATTGGAAGCAGATTTTAGCTGCTACTTTTATGTCAAAAATAATATTTTTTGTGATTACACGGAAAATGTGCCATTAAATGATACCCATTAAAAATAGACATTTTAATAATATTAAGTGTATACCAAACACTACATTTCACAGTATACGAGAATCCACAGACATTTTATATATGTCTTGTTTTCCAAATATATGGTAAGCATATCATTACCCTAATATAATTTGGATATTTTAAAGGATTATATTTATAACAATAGTAAATAGTATCTGACATTAGCTTTTCTCTGAGAAAATTTCCTCAATACATTTTTGGCTTTCGGTACCACTTTTTACCTTTTAATATTTGCTAAATGCAGTTCTTACATTCAGTATATTCAGGCATCTGGTGCATGCGTGAGAACCAGTTTATCACAGTGCTTAATTTTATTTAGAAGCATGTAAAATGTTAATCCGGATAGTTAGATTATTGTAGTATCTTACAATATTAAACTTTTGGATTGAAAACAGTAAATTTTTCATGAACACACATCAAAAGTTTCATTTTGACATTATTAGTCAGATTTAGAAATTGTTAACTTAAAAAGTTAGATGAACATATTCAATACTTTATGAGTTTAGAATTTGCTTTTCAAACATTAGTTACCATAAAGTGCACATTTAACTTCGGTTTCAGGACTGTGTTTAAATGTATGAATTACAAGAGAATAAATCTAGATGTATGGGCTTTATCTGACTGTGATTATTCAGTTTAACTGAAGCCCAGTGAGCAAAGTGTAGTTTTTGATAAATTCCAAAAAAATAGAGATGGCTATAATATGGCTATAATTTAATGATGAATTTTTGTAACAGACTAAGAAAATAAAGAAAACAGTGGAGAGAACAGAATACTGAATTTGGGACTACTCAATTCTGTAACATGTATTTGAAAATCAATCAATAAAATCTGAAAACATCATGTGCAGTATAGACCTAACATAAGTACTTGGATAATCAAAACAGAAATTAATCCTTAACAATGTCTCACTAAGAATAATCCTCTTAAAAGGTTCAGAACTAGCATAGATTTTTTTATTACTTTTACTCATATTTCTGTACATGTCTCACTAGTCTGACCAAAAAGTACACTAAATGTCTCTCAATTTAATAGCGTCTTGCTTAGAGCAGCTACTTAAAAAAAAAAGGCAACAAAAGCCATATGTAACCTTTGGACTCCGAAAGGAGAAAGATGAGAGGCCCGTTGGCAGATAGGTGCTCCAGAAATACACTGCATTCTTTCTTTTGCATCCACCTTGTACGTTTTTTGATAGTTAGCAAGGAAGTTGTCTGCCACATCATTACTTAGAATCTGGAAAAGGACTGTTAAAATTTTAAACACGTGCCATTTCAGTTAAGGAATGTTATAAATTTAAAATTTATTTCTATTTTGGAACCAACAATGTACTGTATAAACTCTCACATACACTCATAACATTTGCAAAACAGAGAGATTTAAATATTTAACAACCAAAGTTAAAAGGATCGACTGATTTCAGTATGTAAAGTAAAACTTTCTGAAATACTAAAAAACAACTCACTTGTAATCATTTTTTTCTTCTTTAGAAGCAATAATCCCTTCTGCCACTGTCTTCAGCTCTGCCTGGGCTTTTCAACTGTTCTCTTCTTGGCGAACTGTCTCTGCTATTTGCTCAGTTAGCTGTTCTTGAGCAGCTTTCAAGCTGGATTCCATTAGAAGAAGTTTTTCATGTTGACTGGCAAGTTCTTGGGCTGAAAGATAAAACAAGAACATTGAAAAAGACAAAGCGAATATATTTTGTTTTCCTTTCTCATTTTTTTTTCTTTTTTAGTTTAAATTTAGTACACTGCAACTTTGAGGAAGATTTAAATAGATTCTTATCAAAATACCACTTCATGCAGACAATTCTCAGATTTCTTTACTAAAAACACAAGTAAACAAAGGTATGTGTGTAGGAATACAGAAGGCATGTCAGAACCTCAAGTTTAGAAAACATTTGAATTATACAATCATACATCTTTACCAAACAGTATGTTCAATTTTTTTGGTATCATCAGTTACTACCTAAGTATACTATAAAAATAATGTGGATAAGCAGCATTCATGTTCTTTCTTTAGCAAAAATCCCAAATATTTGTGTGTATATATATATATATATATATATACATATGCCTATATATTCACATAGAGCCCTATACAATTATGAATTACACTAAAAGGATTGCTCTCCATTGATTTATTTTCACATATTTATGAAATTTAAGCACTTTTTCAAGGTCATCCAATAGATGGCACTCTTTCATTAGACCAAGGCAGACTGAGGCACTATGCTTCAAGCGCTCAAAACATAAGTGATTTAAGACAAAGACATTTTCCCTTTGTTCTTTGTTTACTGTATTCCTAGAGATATGTATCTGCATATTGTGTTCAAATACTTCCCTTATAGAAATGTTCATTTGATTTTCATTTGTATTTCTTCAACTATTTTTCATCAAATATTATTATCAGGCATTATATTTTTAAAACATGTTTTGATATATATTTATACATGTTATGCTGTATATGGTATTTCTGGAGGTATCTTAATGTCTTGACATATAATCGTCTGCATTAAAGAAGATGTCATTTTATGAAAATCAGTAATTTTAATTTTGCAATTCAAAATGATGAAAAAAGAAGTACTTTTAGGATCTATCAATCAACACAGCAATAAGAAAGTGCATTTTAAAATAAACAGAACATCTTTTTTTAATGATTCTTATTTGTGCCTGAAAATATAGTGTTTATTTTAAGCTTCAATAAAGTTGTGAACACAGATGTGACAGTCCTACATCAGGGGTATCTTTCACAGACAAACTCATGAAGAACCTGCTACTTACAAATATGCTGCATGTATCCCTCAGTCTTTGAAGTAAAATGATGTTTCCCTGAGAAGATCTAAAAATCTGATCAGCTTCTCATTTATACTACAGATAACTTCTATTTCAATAAATATATCTATACACGCTTGTACTGTTTTCTTACAAGTGCTAGAAATGACCAGTTTTGCCCCCAGAAGAAATTACAGCATCTACCATTTTTATAGCTTAAATCTGCTATATATTAACAGTTTAAGTGTGTGCCTCAGGAAACCACAGGTCTAACGCAGAGAGCTAAATATTTAACAAGGAAGAACGCATCACCCAGAGCTCATCTTTATTAAATTCCAAACACATCAGAATCTCTCTTGAACAAACGAGCTGAAAGTTTAATATTTTCAGCACATGTTAAAAAGTGTAGAGAAAAACTCCAATGAGAAGGTTACAACAAATTTGCATTCCAAATTAAAAAAAACTCACAAGATTAACAAATTTGTGAAGCTCTTCTCTGTTCTTAACGAGTAAGCAAATGCGACCAGTTGTAAAAAATCAACACTTTTGTGATGATGTGGTTTTAGCATTGTTAATGTAGTTGCACGAACTATTTGAGTGCAACATATTATTTTATGTGCTTTTTCACCTCTTTTATGGTCTATATTTCTTATTACAAAGAAAACTACCCCAAAACTTTTAAAACAAGTTGTCAGTGGAATTTTGGAGCATAAAATAGACAGGTCTTTTAGACTAAAAAGACTTTGACCTGTAACGCCACACACATAATTTTATGGCTATAAGAAAGCTGGAAGAATTCTTCTCTGAAGAATCTCCTTATACCAGCAGACTAACTTCTAGATTACTTGGGACAACTTGTAGCACATACACAAGACCTTTTCTCAACTGGGTATGATATGCGTGTTCTACGACACTTGCCCTTTTGAAATAGCTAAGAGATTTATGCGTCAGAGTTCTCCTAAGAGTCTACTCTAATTCATTATGTGCTGGTTAAAAAGGGGTAAATTATTTTAAGTTTACCTATGCCTTGGACTTGAGCCTGAGTTGATCCCAAGCCAGGGGCGCTCACAGCTGCATGCTTTATTTACAATCCCTTTGTCAGACTTACAACTGCCCCTGGCTATAACATAGTGTACCTAATGTTCAAACTGGCAGGTAATCTTATGTCAAACATACTTCTTTGATTTAAAGTGATCAATAGATTCTTGTAAAGAGGTAATTTCTCAGATGTTTCTACCTTGCCTTTCTTACAGGTGATTCACACAAAAGCCTGCTTATATGATGTACGAACAATAAACAGAAAGCTATAATCATGTTTTTTCAGATGTTTCCGGTGCACAACGATTTCGGATCGATATACTGTGTAATACAATTATCTGCAATGATCTGGTTGTATTGAAAAAGAATTTGCAGGAGACCTCTAGGGGGTTTTATCCAGAAACATGTATCTGGCAATGTGTGAATAGAGGAAGGAAAAATTAAGAGGCTGAACAAAAGTTGTCTATTATGCACCCAATGATTTTATTAATATTTTATTTCATAAAACTGTTACACCCAAAATTTAGCAAAACAAAAGCTCAAAGGTAATAATAATAACCGTAATAACATTCAGGACTTCATACTACTTATGTGGGCGAAAAAGAATACCTTTAACAAAAAGATACCAGCTAAGGAGATTCAACGCTGCGTATATGCAGCACAGATTATGAGTAATATTGATTATTTATGCTGCAAAAATATTTTATCTTGATTTTATGTAACTTATACACACTAGTGTCTGTGGAATACATTTGATGTCTTTTGAACTATTTTAATTATTATTAGAAAGATAAAATTTTAGAGTGGGCATTAATATGAAATACTCAACAGCACTATAGAATAAGAGCTTTACTTTTTTTCAAAGAAGAGTCGCAGAACCAGGAAAAGAGCTGACAGACACGTTCTGTATCCTACAGACATTAAACATATTTTCTGCGCAGACTTCTGAGTGTGGAAATGACTCGGTTTTATTTTTATGGTTCTCCCAAAGTCGCTGACTCTCGGCAGCATCCATCTCAAAGCTTGAAAAGAGCCACATTTCCTATTTTGAGTTTCTCATCATCTAACCCTGATGTGAAATTTTCTTTGGTCAAGCTAAAACAGATTCGTGTTCCGGCAAAGCTCACAATCCGGGGTCCGGCGTTACTTCTCCAGAGCTCGCTGCATGTAGACGGCGCAGTCTCCATCGGGCTGCGGCCCCGCTCGGATGAAGGTGGCTGCTCTTTCCTGATGCTCTTCCCCGCGCACACAGCAGCAGCCAGTTACCGCACCACCCTGCCAAGGTGCCTCACCTTCCCTGCTTTGATTTCAGCGGCTTCACCTGTCTCCAGGAGTCCAGCTCCTGACTCAGAATGCTGCGTCTTTTGCATACTGCCTGTGAAGACAGAAAGCATTCCAATAGTGGCTTTTATGATGCACTTTTTATACTGCATCCTGCTATTTTGAGCTATGGGATACTGGAGATTACACAGCCCCTCGTTAGCAACTGGGTCAAATATCCACATCTCTTCCAAGATCAAAACCCTAGGATCGCTCCTTTCAAAAAGTCAGTTGAAGGGAAGATTCACCATTAGCCTATATATAGTGTTAATCAATACGTGAAGGTTCAAAGGCAAAATAAAATATTTCCCATAATTCTTAGGGAATGGAAAAGACCAGTTTGATCAAAATGAATTCTTTTCTTTAAAATATGAAGAAGAGTTTAATGAACATAAAAAGTGCATTTAATCTCTTTGAGTTAACATCTATATAGCTCTTTCATTTAACACTAAAGGAAACTACATTAATGCAACACACAGGGAAATCCCTCCACCGTAAAGATAATTATGATCGCCTCCTAATGACTTCTCCACACCACTTAAACTAATTACCTTTATGAGAATACCATGTTTGTCATTTTCTTTTCAGTTCTATTATCTTTCTAACTCATGGTGTCTCGGCTCTAAATCTGAGTGAGGAAAGACACAAACTGCGATCAAATACTGAAATGATAAATAGATGGAAATCTTTAAAAGAAATCTCACACGCTTTACTGACGTTGCTTTCACATCCATCCATAGGGTCTCCCTCGCCTCAGTGATTGGCTCCTTGCCACACCTTGACCCTGCATCATGCTCCACCATGCTTCTTTTAATCTGAATATTTAGTGTTCTTTCATGTCTTAATTACAGCAAATTGCGGCACAGTTGGCACCATTTCTTGAAATTAATCCCAGAGTACTTTGTTTCTGACAGGCAGTCAAAGCCTTGGAGAATAATAGTAAATGTTATTGCGGATCTAAATTTAAATGACTGTCTATGTATTTAACTTAAGCCTTTAATTATTCCTGCCGAACTGTTTTTGGTTCAAATGTTAAACATTATTCATTGAGAACATAAAATTACTTTAGACAGCTTAAGACGTGCAGATATGTTTGGCTATAATTTTAACACAACAATTATTTGCATTAACATATTTTCTCAGGTGTACAAACTTAGTAAATGGTGTGTAATATCTCTTAGGGATATGTATTTCACCTAGCTCCATTACTTCAGTCATTATTAATAAAAATATTAATTAGGTCCATTCAATTTTAAATAACTTTTCCCCAAAAACTGTTAAACTGTAAGTGAGATGCAAGATTGTGTGTGTATTGTCATTGTTAAATACCTTTTAAGTAAGTCACAGATAATGAAGTATTTCAAAAGTTCTTCCAAATGTATGAATTAGATAATTATGTTGTGGGTTGTTTTACGGAAACTTAAATGTCCCAGAACTTGCAGCTGTCAGCTCTTTCATTCCCTGATTCTGAGCAGATATTCACATTCAAAACAGGTATTCACACTCAAAAACCAG